CTTCTCATCTTTCTCATTAGATTAAAATTCTGCATAGGTCTTTAGGAGCCTCTCATACCCTTTAGCTGCTCTACCCTCCATCCCCAACAATGGCTGTAGGATTTTGAGAAGTGGGGTGCAGATGGTATGGTGCATCACCACACGGAATACAGCACGCATTCTTCCCCTGACTGTGGTGCTGTTCCAAGTCATGCCAAGCCTATGTCCAGGCCATCTGGAGTCTGGAGAGTGCCAACACATCTGATGCCAGCCCTGCACAGCAGTACTCACACAAGCTGGCTTGAAACTTTGAGTGGAAGAGGAATCAAAGGAGGGTGCAACCCAGGGGTGCAGTAGGGCAGCTCCACACGTAATTTCTCAGTACATGAGGCACAGTGTCAATGATGTTGGTGCAGTCATCCACCTCTATGGCAGCAGCTATTTTTGGGGCCCCCACAAAGGAGGTGCCTGGGGCTGCTGCCCCAGGAGCCCCCTCAGTTATATTACTGGTGCAACATACCCCCCTGAATCCACCTCTGTTCTTTCCTATAGCTGTACCACAGGAGCTGTGGAGTTTACTAATAAACTTTTTCAGGGAGTCAACAAAAAATTGTCTCTTGGGGTAACCTGGCATGAAAGCTCCTTCCTGGAAGCATCATGGAGACACAGTTAGGTTAAGTAGGTACAAGACTTAGAAATTAATATTAGTGCGCTACAGAAATGGCTCTCCATTGCCCCTTGTGGCTATAGTGGATAAATGGCCAAAGAGACAGTTTTCAGAACAGAGACCTGCAATCTCACTGCTGGACCATATTCTTTTGGGAGAAGGGGAACCCCAAACTCTTTACAGACTAAGGACCCTTCTGTTGCTCTCTATACCAGTCACAGTGAACAGGGTTGGAAGAGTCAAAAGGCTGAAATGAAGACTCTCTTTGACCTATGTTATGAATTACATGGCAGGTCTGTACCGCTTCTACCCTTGGTCTACTGAAATGCTGGGTATATTAAGGTAATAAAGTTGTGGCCTGCCACTTAATTCCATTCTCATGCCAAATTTCACTCACCTACTTGTCTTATTACAATTCATTTCTGTATTCATCCTTATTTTCTAAGCATTAAGAGTGAACACA